ACAGTTCTTACTGTACCATCACACAGGTCCTGCTGCATAATCACACAGTTCTACTGTACCATCACAGGTCCTGCTGCATCATCACATAGGTCCTGCTGCATCATCACATAGGTCCTCCTGCACTCACACAGGTCCTGCTGCACCATCAGACAGGTCCTGCTGTACCATCACACAGTCCTGCACCATCACAGGTCCTGCTGCACCATCACACAGGTGTTGCTGCACCATAACAGGTCCTGCTATCATCACATGGGTCCTGTGCATCATCACACATGCCCTGTTGCATATCACACAGGTCCTGCTGCACCATCACACAGTTCCTTCTGCACCATCACACAGTTCGTGCTGAACCATCACACAGGTCCTGCTGCATCATCACAGGCCCTGCTACACCATCACACAGGTCCTGCTGCATCATAACACAGGCCCTGTTTCACCATCACACAGGTTCCTGCTGCACCATCACAAAGGTCCTGTTGCATCATCTCATAGGTCCTGCAGCATAATCACACAAGTCATGCTACATCATCACACAGCTGCACCATCACACAGATCCTGTTGCACCATCAAACAGGTCCTGCTGTATCATCACACAGGTACTTTTGTACCATCACACAGGTCCTGCTGCACCATCGCACAGGCCCTCCTGCACCATCACACAGGTCCTGCTGCATCATCACACAGTTCCTGCTGCATCATCACACAGGTCCTCCTGCACCATCACACAGGTCCTGCTGCACCATCACACAGGTCCTGCTGTACCATCACATCAGGTCCTGCTGCATCATCACATGGGTCCTGCTGCATCACACATGCCCTGTTGCACTATCACAAGGTCCTGCTGCACCATCACACAGTTCCTTCTGCACCATCACACAGTTCGTGCTGAACCATCACACAGGTCCTGCTGCATCATCATATGGGTCCTGCTGCATCATCACACATGTCCTATTGCATCATCACACAGGTCTTGCTGCACCATCACACATTTCGACCATCAGTTCCTGCTGCATCATCACATAGGTCCTGCTGCACCACTAGACAGGTCCTGCTGCACCATCACAGATCCTGCTGCACCATCACACAGGTCCTGCTGTACCATCACACAGGTCCTGCTGCATCATCACATGGGTCCTGTTGCATCACACAGGTCCTGCTGCACCATCACAGTTCCTCTGACTCACACACGTCCTGCTGCCATCACACATCCTGCACCATCACACAGTTCCTGCTGAACCACATCACACAGTTCCTGCTGCATCATCACACAGGTCCTTCTGCACCATCACACAGGTCCTGCTGCATCATCACACAGGTCCTGCTGCATCATCACACACGTTCTGCTGCATCCCCACAGGTCCTGTGCTCATCACACACGTCCTGCTGCACCACACACAGCTCCTGCTGCACCATCACACAGTTGCTGTTAAACCATCACCCAGTTCCTGCTACATCATCACACAGTTCTACTGTACCATCACAGGTCCTGCTGCATCATCACATAGTTCCTGCTGCATCATCACACAGTTCTTACTGTACCATCACACAGGTCCTGCTGCATCATCACATAGTTCCTGCTACATCATCACACAGTTCTTACTGTACCATCACACAGGTCCTGCTGCATAATCACACAGTTCTTACTGCATCATCACACAGGTCCTGCTGCATCACACAGGTCCTGCGCATCACACAGGTCCTCCTGCACCATCACACAGGTCCTGCTGCACCATCAGACAGGTCCTGCTGTACCATCACACAGGTCCTGCTGCACCATCACACAGGTCCTGCTGCACCATCACACAGGTGCTGCTGCACCATAACACAGGTCCTGCTGCATCATCACATGGGTCCTGCTGCATCATCACACATGTCCTGCTGCATTATCACACAGGTCCTGCTGCACCATCACACACAGTTCCTGCTGCATCATCACACAGTTCGTGCTGAACCATCACACAGGTCCTGCTGCACCATCACACAGGTCCTGCTTCATCACACAGGTCCTGCTGCACCATCACATAGGCCCTGCTGCATCATCACACGGTCCTGCTGCATCATCACACAGCTCCTGCTGCATCGCACAGGTCCGACTGCACCACACACAGGTCCTGCTGCATCATCACACAGGTCCTTCTGCATCATCACACAGGTACTGCTGCACCATCACACACAGTCCTGCTGCACCATCACACAGGTCCTGCTGCACCATCACACAGGCCCTGCTGCACCATCACACAGGTCCTGCTGCACCATCACACAGGTCTGCTGTACCATCACACAGGTCCTGTGCATCATCACATGGGTCCACCTGCATCATCACAGCCCTGTTGCATTATCACACGGTCCTGCACACACACAGTTCCTTCTGCACCACAGTTCGTGCTGAACCATCACACAGGTCCTGCTGCATCATCACACAGGTCCTGCTGTACCATCACACAGGTCCTGCTGCATCATCACACATAGGTCCTGCTGCATCATCACACAGGTCCGGCTGCATCATCACACAGGTCCCAAGGCATCATCGCACAGGTCCTACTGCACCATCACAGTTCCTTCTGCACCATCACACAGTTCCTGCTGACCATCACACAGGTCTGCTGCATCATCACACAGGTCCTACTGTACCATCACACAGGTCCTGCTGCATCATCACACAGGTCCTGCTGCATCATCACACAGGTCCTGCTGCATCATCACACAGCCCTGCTGCATCATCGCACAGGTCCTACTGCACCATACACAGGTCCTGCTGCACCATCACACAGGTGCTGCTGCATCATCACACAGGTCCTGCTGCATCATCACACAGGTACTGCTGCACCATCACACAGGTCCTGCCGCACCATCACACAGGTCCTCCTGCACCATCACACAGGTCCTGCTGTACCATCACACAGTCCCGTCATCATAACATAGGTCCTGCTGCATCATCACACATGTCTTGCTGCATCATTACACAGGTCCTGCAGCACCATCACACAGGTCCTGCTGCACTGTCACATGCCTGTAACTCTTAGGAACACGCATGTCGATCTGTTTGCCTCCACCCACACAAGCTTATATCTTTTTTTATATTATCTATTGTTTTCTGTTACTTAGGTTAATTGTATATCTATGTATGTATTAATATGCATCATTTGTGTCACCCTGTTAGTCAAACCAAAAGTAGTATTAATTAGTTATAGACTATTTCGCAACTGTCCTGGGTCAGTGAGTCATATTCTGTGTGCAGAGACTTTCTTTGCAAACCGTGTATAGACAGGACGTGTCCACACCCTCTAGCCTCGACACTTGTCATATGGCGTGCTTGTTCAGTCATCTACACCTAGTGGCATCTGGTATGTGCAGTTAAGGTTCAGAAGGACCTGGTGTTATGGAATTTATTTGGTAGGAATAGTTGTTGTGTTGCTGTGTATTTTGTAGTGTTAATATAGTTAATGTTAGTCGTATTCATTTGATCTAACCCTTAACGGTATATTTTCACCCTTCCGTCATCCTCTTATTTTAATATACAATCACTTATTCTTAAATTCCATGGTTGCTAGACAGTACCTTTCAGAACATAAATGTATTATTTATTATTTCATTTGTGATTCTCCAATTTATTTTATTTATTCAAGTACATTCAGTTGAGTCTTTTGTGGGATAATTATTCCTGTGTTCTGTTGTTCCTTTCTTGTGATAACATGGGGTGGTTTCACTCCCCAGGTATAAGGATATTGGATCGACTGCACCATCACACAGTTCCAGCTGAACCATCACACAGGTCCTGCTGCATCATCACACAGGTCCTGCTGCATCATCACACAGGTCCTGCCATCATCACACAGGTCGTGCAACATCATCACCTCTGTTCCTGCTGCACCATTACACAGGTCCTGCGGCACCATCACATAGATCCTGCTGCATCATCACACAGGTCCTGCTGCACCATCACACAGGTCCTGCTGTACCATCACACAGGTCCTGCTGCATCATCACACAGGTCCTGCTGCATCATCACACAGGTCCTGGGCACCATCACACAGGTCCTGCTGCATCATCACAAGTCCTGCTGCATCACACAGGTCCTGCTGCACCATCACACAGGTCCTGCTGTACCATCACAGGTCCTGCTGCATCATCACACAGGTCCTGCTGCATCATCACAGGTCCTGCTGCACCATCACACAGGTCCTGCTGCATTATCACACAGATCCTGCTGCCCCATCCTCAGGTCCTGCTGCACCATCACACAGGTCCTGCTGCATCGTCACCAGGTCCTGCTGCATCATCACATAGATCCTGCAGCACCATCACGCAGGTCTTGCTGCACCATCACACACGTCCTGCCCCATCACACAGGTCCTGCTGCACCATCACACGTCCTGCTGCCCCATCACAGGTCCTGCTGCATCATCACACAGATCCTGCTGCCCATCACACTGGTCCTGCTGCATCATCACACAGATCCCAGCACCATCACACCGGTCTTGCTGCACCATCACACACGTCCTGCTGCCCCATCACATACGTCCTGCTGCCCCATCACACTGGTCCTGCTGCATCATCACACAAGTCCTGCAGCACCATCACACAGGTCTTGCTGCATCATCACATAGATCCTGCAGCACCATCACACAGGTCTTGCTGCCCCATCACCCACGTCCTGCTGCCCCATCACACAGGTCCTGCTGCACCATCACACAAGTCCTGCTGCATCATCACACAGGTCCTGCTGCATCATCACACAGATCCTGCAGTACCATCACACAGGTCTTGCTGCAGCATCACACAGGTCCTGCTGCACCATCACACAGTTCCTGCTGCATCATCACACAGGTTTTGCTGCACCATCACACAAGTCCTGCTGCACCATCATGTTGTATTCGTTCCCTATTCTTATCATCATCCCATAGTCTCTGTCATGATATTTGGCTCTTGCAGGTAAAATATATCTTAATCTTGGATTATATTACAATATTCTTTTCTCTTTGTTCATGACCGACGTACAGACACAGCGAGTTCAGGCATCGGGAGTTCAGGCCAGTACGAGAAGCTGGGGACACCCTGCCTCTTCCACGTCGGCCGCAACCCTGTCAGGATGGATCTAGATGCCTTTGCTTACCCTAAGAACTGCCCTGTCAAGTACCAGTTCGACGAAATGTAAGATTTATTTTGTTTTTCCCTCTCTTTTTTTACTGTTAAGCCACGTTGCTCGGCTAAATGCACTGTGTTTTCTAAAGAATAGTAGTTTGTTTAATCGATCATTATGTAAGTCATATCATTGAGTCCTTAAGTTTGGGTGTTTTCTCAAAGATTAGTTAGTTATATTTGACTAATCCTACACTGTTTATCAAATATAAACCTGCTTATCGGAATTTTAAAACGTTGATCATTAACAACTGCCACAAATCTGATCCTGCAAGTACAGGACATTGAACCTAAACATATTATGTGCTTAAGTCACGTCCACCTAGAAATGCTTAGGTTTCCTCCAGAAAACATTTGAAGTAAACATTCAGAAAAACAATCCACTTATCACACAGCTAACTCAGAAGCCATCACGAAAAAAAAAAAACTTTCATAAACATCCAGTAGAAAAAGCATGTTAGAGATCAACTCAGAACAAGAAGAACATGAAGTACAAACATTGACTGAATCAGCAGATGGAATGAGTGATGCCTCAGGATCCCCTAACCCAAAAAATTACTTCCTAAATTACTTCCTAAAAAAGATGTGACCTTAAATATCTACTCCATATTTAAATTTATCAAAGACATATAACAAATTATAAATGTGAGTAAAGAACTGGGGATACAAATAGACATTCAACTGCCCCGAGTTCTCTGAATATCCATAATAAAGAAGAAATAATATTGGGACTTTAGAGGATGGATCTTCCCGGCAACCACAGAGTATATGAAAAGAATAAAGAAGAATGGCCGACGCCCATATTCAGGAACAGGATAAATGAGAACAAGCTACGTAAGTCGTTGAAAAAAAAACCCACAAAGTTTCTCACTAAAAAACAACAAATATTGTCTGACCTGCGAACATAATATACAGCATCATACTCATAAACTCACATCGTCAAATAGTGAGTGAGTTTAAATTATTTAGGTACAAGGTACATATTTCTAACCAGTTGAACTATTGAATGAGCTTTGTCATAAAAGAGATCCACAACATTTGCCATACAGATATCTATAGCAACAAGATCAATCATAATTACTTAACCCACACAGAGGTTACCTGCAGTAAGCTGACTTTAACTGACTCCTATCAAACAATAAGTTTACCTACATAATAGAGGACCTGAACACCAGACACCCTCTATTAGATGACAAAAGGACAATCAAGAACACACAGAACACACAGCTAATTGGCCCAGATACCCCCACGTTTTACAACAGGGATTCAGCCACCATTCCAAATATACCAGTACTGAATGGCAGATGGCACAACTACCTTTTAGTCCAATAACCAGTGATCATCTCCACAACTCTAATAGCCAAAGTTACCCCTCCGGATTAAAAAAAATATAGAATGAACTTTTCAACGAAAAAGCTTCGACCAAACTCTAACTCTAGTAAATTAATATTGTAACACCTGTAGTTCTCAGACACACACAAGTTATTGAATTGTAGGCATATGTTCCATTTCATACAATAAATTTAAACAACGTTTGGGTTTGGTGAAAGCTGGCATAACAAAACATATGATTTAATTACAACACCATCACCAAAGCCTTAACACTCATACACTCTTACATTCACAGTTATGAGACACAACACTTAACGGTAAAATTGTATGAATACAGCACTTATATTGCAAAATCATAGAACCTCAAAAAAATGGAGAAACAACACAAATTAAAACCAAATAAGTAGATAGAGGAAATCAAATTGTAATGGGAAGAATAAACAGACCTGTGAGTGTGGAGCCAGAGTTACGAGCCAGAGTTACAGCCGGAACACCAAGTGACCAACAACAGCATCCGCCTCCCACATACTGCACATCACAAAGTGCCCCCATGCAGGTAGTTAGCCCTTTACACAACCATTTACATTGTTTACATGATACCATAGCACCTTTCCCCATAAAGACGAAAATTCATGGGTGAAATTTTGAAGCATTACACATCTCACATGAATAAATCTCGTCCTTTCACATGCCTGATATCCAAGTCATATTCCTGAATATACAAATTCCACTTGACTAATAACTGATTCTTGTTTCTGATTTTCCAAAGAAATTTCAAAGGGTTAATAATAATAATAATAATAATAATAATTAACGGTTTATTGAAAGAGCTTGGCAGCCAGAAGGCTGAAAATATACAGTTACATATTTGGGGAATGGGTTTCGAATTACAAATAATATACAAGTAACATAAGTGATACAAATAAGATATATAATAACTAGATGGGGAAAAGCTCAAACTACAGTTCATTTCAACATAGTGACAGTGCAAGGAGTAGTGTTTACTGGGAGTGAATACACTGGTTTATTACAAGTTATTGATAATTTTTACAATGGTTGGGACTGGGCTGTTCTTATAGCGATCAGTTCGTGCACGTATGGGCTGGATGCGGTTGTGGTGTCGAACAGCAATTCTCGGGCTAGGGATCTCAGGTGGTAGTAGGAGCCGGTGTCGAGGATGGTAGAAGCTTCTTACCAAATTTGCAGATGAGGTCGTGGTGATGGTCAGTGAGAGTCGAAAGGGTCAGTGTGTTGAGCGCTTCTTGATATGTGGAGTAGGAAGGGGAGAGAATAATCTTGCATGCCCTCTTTTGCACTTTTTCTAGGTGTTTACGTTGTGTGGCATTTAGGGAGGAAGACCAGGTGGGGAGGCATAGGTGAGCTTGGGAAGTATGAATGTTGTGTAAACACTGAGGAGCTCGGGTGCAGGAACTCCGAGGGACTTGAGTCGGCGGAGGAGGTGGAGACGGAAACTGGAGGATTTGACAACTTCACTGACGTGTGGTTTCTAATTTAGTTTGTTGTCTATGGTGACGCCGAGGGAGCTTCGTGGAATCTACAACCTGGAGTGTGTTCGGACCTAGAGTAATGGAAGGAGGTGGGACAATGTCGGAGGAGAGTTGATGTGCATAACCATGGTCTTGGTATGGTTGATGGTGACATGGTTGTTGGTGGCCCAGTTTTGGAGACTGTTTAATAAATCCTTAAGGGCGGTATAGTTGGGAGCAGAATTGTTGACGCTGATCCCAATGGTGGAGTCGTCGACATATTTCCAGCGAGCAGGGGTTTCTCTTAGGGCATCATTGATGAGCATAAGGAAGCAGAGTGGTCCCATCTTGGTGCCTTGGGGGACGCCACAGGTGAGTGACTGAAAGGTGGAGACAGCCCCTCGGAAGCGTACAGCTTGGCGTCGGTCACTGAGGAAGTCTGTAAGCCATGGTATAAGACTTCTCCGAAGCCCGAGGTCAATAGCTTTGTTGATGATTATATTGTGGTCGACTAGGTCGAATGCTTTAGTGAAATCAATGAAGGCGACAGCTACAGACGTTTTTCGTTTCTCGAGATGGCGGTATATGTAATCGAGAAAGCTGACAAGACAGTGAGTGGTGGAGGAAGTTTTCATGTTGCCAAATTGCTGAGGGTCTACGACTCCTGCAATATCAGCATAAGCCCAGTTGAACACAAAACTTTCACAGATGATCAATTAAAGGTCAATTCCCCGAGTTCACATAAACACCAAACTGTTGTAACCCAAGAATTAAAGATACTGTCGTCTGAACAATTAATAATTTCTTTGGTGACAGACGATTTTCTTACTAAAATAAGAGACTGGATGTGCTACCCCATCGCTTGCACCAATATCAATTGTAAACTGCAATCTTGAATGGCTTTTGAAAATTAGGGGCTTGTAACATAGGTGAACTTAATAAAATTGCTTTGAGCTTTCTGAAGGATGATTCACACTGTTTATTCCAAACATATTTTACTTCTTTCATTAACAAATTGGCCCAGGTGCTAATGCATCAGCTGACAACAAGGTTAGCCATTGACAGTCTTGCTAAAAATTTCTCACTCTAATTCAGATGTTCACCCCAGGTGTCGCTATATATGACCACATCGTCTATGTAAGTGACACACCCTTTCAGTCCGTTAGTTATATTATTCATTAACTTTTGGAAACTACTCGCAGCATTTTTCATTCCAGAAGGCATCACAGAACTTGAGTACACTCTCCCCAAGGTTATAAAACTAGAGATTTCACGAGCTTTCTCTATTAAGGGTTCCTGCTAAAATATCTTTAATATCACAAACTTTCTGATGTATTTAGCATAATTATCACCTACCTGTTCAATGTAGTCGTCCACCCTAGGAAGAGGAAAAGCATTATTTTACGTCACATGATTGTGTAATCCTGTCATTATCAAACATGTACTTTATCTCCTCCTGAGCAGAAGGAATTTCATGAGGGTCTTAGTCTATTTGTGGACTTCTTAAAGGTTGCTGTATCACCGACGTCAACATCATGATGTAATATATGTGTCCTACCTGGTTTATCTATGAATACATGACGATTTTTTTAGCAAATTAAATAATTCCTGTTTTTTCTTCAGGACTTACACGAGTAAACTTATCATCAAGGTTAGCAAGAGAGTAAGAATTCTGAGACCAAGCTGTGGACATAGTGACACTTGGAGGGCTTACCTAACCATTTTCTTTAACTTTACTAGAGACACATACAGGTTCAGCAGTAACTTCTCTTCTATGAAATAGCTTTAATCTGTTTATATGTCACAAACTATTATCCTTTCTCCTTTCTGGAGTCACCATTACATAGTTTAATCATTCACCTTCCTCTCAATAACATTTGGATCACAAAATTAGCATGTAGAGGGTTACCATGTGCAGGGAATAGCACTAAAACTTCATCACCGGCCTAAAACGTACGTTTCCTAGCTCGTTTATCATACCAACTTTTCATTTTCTCCTGACTTGCTTTCAAATTCTCTTTAGCTATCTCTAAACTGCTTGATAGCTGATCTTTGAGGTTGTAAACATGATCCTACATATTGATATCTTTAACAAGTTTAGTGGTCCGCTTACCTCATGAACAAATATTAGTTCAAAAGGTAAGATTCTAAGAGTTTTATTAGGAACTTCCCTTGCGGCGAATAATAATAAAGGCAAACCACTCTCTCCGGTACTCCAACAATTTATCATAGTCTCCAGAGTCTG